AAATCACAGATAGTTGTTCATACTTTTATGGCTCTCAGCAAAATAACATCTGTCCTTATTTTTTAATGCAAATTTAAAGGTGATAACATCTCAAGGTATCATTCAAACCATATGCTCAGAGGCCCACTGACTAACTCTTGTAAAACTTTAGATTCTTAACATTTGAAATTAACTTCATCTATTAAATGTACTTGATTATATTAGAAAACTTTGTCTCTATATATTTATCCCCCATTTTAAATATCTGTTCCTATTGAATGCTAGAAACATGTGCTTCATTGTATTACAACATATTCAAAGCTAAATTAAAGCCAAATTATAATTAAGGAATACAACTTCTTCAAAATAAGACAGTTTTATGTGAATCATACGTGCACCTTCAGAAATACATAAAACAGTGAAAATAAGGAGCAGATATGGTGAGGAACTCTAAAGTCAAGCCTGCACACTATGAGATTTTCTTAGCTAGAGGTTGGGGGTAGGAGAGATATAGAGAGGACACCTACTCAAGTATATCAGTAAAATTAGAAAATGCTCACTGAAACCTGCTCACTTATTTGGGGATAAATAAGAAGATACTCTACCTATGAAATCTTCAAGGTGATTTTTCTGGAGGTTACCTTTGGCAACAGAATCAATTTTGAGTTCCAAAAATTCTTCCTGAAGTTCTTCCAATAAAGACAAATATCAGGAAGAAAAGATTCCTTGTAAGCTTACAAATGGGACTTTCAAATAGGAAATCAAGAAAGTATCATCTCCAGGTGATATTTATCCTCCAGGATGACTCCAGAAAAAATGTATCTTTCTCTCTTTGGAGTTAGTTTCAGAAACCTTATGCTTCAGAGTTTAAACAAATGAAAACATTTAACATCTAAGTTGCTATATACAGAGGATTTGTATATGGATTTGTTACATGAATACTTGTTTGTTCCTCAAAAACAGTAGCCAAATAATATCTAGTAAAACTATATACATATGCATATATCTTCTGACTTAGCAATTCCACTTACAGAAATTTACTCAAAGATAACACCTACAATACCTCCAACAGTATGGAAACACATGCACAAGGTCAATCACCAGAGCATTATTTGGTAATTGCAAAATAATTAAAGTACCTAAATGTCTGAACCTAAGTGAGTGAAAAAAAAATTATGATACATACAATGGAGTGCTATGCACCTGTAAGAATGATTAAGAAAAAATATGAACTAATATGTAATGAGTTCTAGGATATACTGAGTGAAAAAGCAAAGAATAAGAGAATCTCCCATATAAGAATAAAGGCAGAAACTGTCATATCTATTTGTCATTACAAAAAGAAACACAAGGATGGATAAGCAAAGGAAAAAAAAGAATTATCTACAGAAGATGGAGAAGAGAAAGGGTGAGAGGGATACAGGAGGAAATGACACTTTCTGAGTATAACATTTACACAGATTTGACTTTTGGAAATAGGAGGAATGAATGAAAAATATAGCGAATATTTACATTTAGAAACAAATTATTACAGCAAAAGACAAACTGCCACTAATCCCATTCAAAAATACTGCCCCTTGCTTCAAACACACTTATCACATC